AATTCTTAATTGTTTAGTTAACAAAGATTTTATGCTCTGATCGCGTTGGTTAATATAGTTTCAAGGGTATTTGTGTGCTCATTCTACATAGTTTTAGTAATTGTATTATTTCTTTTGTTAAGAATGTATATGTATGTGCACGGCTACAGTCTGTGTATGAATGTATGTGTGTTTGTGTCGGGTGCTCGCCATATTGTTGATGCTGCCAGCACCATGATATGTCTCATCTCATCTGCCGTCTTCCGTCTCTGTCTTTGTCTTGGATAGCGGCCAACAAAAAGTTCAAGGTAATTCCCTTTAGCTGCATCCTTTCAGATCCTCCTGTTATTATTTGCTTTCCTCATCCTAAAATGTTCACATAGAGCTCTCTCACTCTTGCACTCTGCAGAAGAGGTTGAGCTAACCAGTTTTAGGCAACCAGAAGCTGACATAGCCATTGCCATTCCTTTCTTTTCCGAAACAGTCAAATTTCATTCAGTCGAGTTGGTTTGTTTCCTTCCATATGTATAAGTATGTGTGTTTATGTGGCTGTGCATGTGTCTTTATACAAAGAGCGATCCACAGACATAATTTGAGACAGGTGTTACAAACTGTGCTTCGTGCCTGTGGCTTATTTGTAGTGCATTTATCTGTTAAACAGATTTTCTGCATTGAATCTGTTATGTTATTAACATTTATAGTACCACACCTTAAGGTTTATCAATTAAATTCAATTTAAAAAGAAATTATTTTCATAATTTTTAAATCAATATAAAATAATCAATAAATAAATATAACCTAAATATGTATTTAGGTGGAAATGAGTAAAGAATAAATATGTCTGTTAAATAACACTGTTTAGTTGCCTTTGGAGCTCTCATGTTATTAACATCTGTTAGTATGTTATTATCATCTGTTCGTCATTTCACGCAAATTTATAAGTTTGTAATTTTATCGTGATTAATGACCCTTGGAGGTAGCCAGCAAAGAGCTTCTTAAGGTGTGTGCTCTCTTGTGGAGCATATGTCTTTTCGTTTGCCGTTAATTTATAATGCCTTGCAGGTGGAATTGAAAGCCATTTAAATTGCCAGCTTTATCTTCGACTAGGCATAGCACTTTGATTGATTATTTTTGTGTGCTATAGTGGATGCCCCTTATTGCTTGTTTGAGTTCTTATTCTTGATTTGTGGCCGGAAGAGTGGCGCATTCTTCGACATGGCTTTTAAAGCTCATTCATGGGCCGAGCTCAGATGTCCGCCATGTTGCTTACTCGCTCTCCTCTCCCGGTCTTCTTTTTGTGCTCTTTTTAATAAAGTTTTAATAATTCAATGTGCGGCTCAGCTTGGAGCCGCTGATGTTTGTTCCTCTGTGCATTTCATCAGCTTCTTGCTCGACGTTTGGTTTGTTGTAGCTGTTGTTGTCTGGTCGCTTAACTCCTTCATTAATATGTAAAAATGACTCAAGCGCAGTCACCAAGCGTATGCCCATGCATGACTGTTTACGCTGTGTGTATGTGTTTGTGTGTCTGTCTCTCACTCTCCCTTTGTATGTGTTTTTTTTGTGTTCCTTCTCATGTCGCTCCTTACCTTTTATGCTGCTCTGCTCACCCCTTCATTTTTCCTGTTGTAACTTTCGTGATTTAAATACAGGTCAACGGCACATTAACCTTTACTTTGTTTTAGTCTCATTCGCGTATTACCGTTTTAATATTGCAGTGCTAAGAATCCTGTTTACTTAATAACGCAGTGCGACCGACTGAGCAGTTGTATTAAATAATTAACTTATTTGTGGAATTCGTGTTCACTTTAATATTTGTATAACCTGTATTCATAAGGAGTGTTAAGATTGGTTAAAATGTTTTATTTATAAATATAAATAAATATTTACATATTTATAAATATTTAATATTATCACGTACACCTGTACAGGGTGACTCTCAAGTCGATGACTCCCCGCCAATTGTCTAACTTGTTGCTATCTCTGGACAGCATACGTTTGTTTATGCTGTTGAATGCTTTGCAGTTAGTACTTGGCACTGTTATTATGTATTTCTTATGCAATGCTCACAAATGCGCATTTGGCACACACATGTTTTCATATCCATATGTACATAGGCACGTACGTACGTACATTTGTTGCTGAGCAACTCAGTTGTGTGGTATTTTAAGTTTAATGAGAGCCACAGTGACGTCACAGCAAGTTGAGTGAGTGACACATTCAGTCATCTGTTAATCATAGAGCCATACTGTCATATGATTTCCTTTCTGTTATGTACATAGGTAAAGCGCCATAAACGTTAATGTGCTCACTCACTTTAGTTTACATAGTTCATAACACACTGTTAGCAGACGTATAAATAAAAATATATGGGTATATACGCTAGAATACAATACGTAAATATGTATAAAAAGCAAATGAACACACATAACAGAAAACAGCAGCGCAAAGCTTCTGGTAATCAGAAATACATTTTCATTTTATTTTTCTGTTCGCTTCGCAGGCAAATATTTGGCGCTGCGCATGGTGTGGTGTCTAGGGTGTGCTTGTGTATGTATGTAAGCTCTCGTTCGTTAACAGCTGCTCTCTCTCTTGCTTTTGCTTGCTCAATGTGTTTAAACGTAATTGGGAACGTGTGGGGAATTGCTTTTACACATGTGTGTTTGTATGTGTGTTGGCAGTTGACATTTTCATGTCTGGGGTGATTGCCAAAGAGAAAAAGAGAGGGAGAGAGAGAGAGAGAGAAACGTATCGTTGACTGACAGCTGTTTTTGCTTTAAATTAACCGCAACAGCAGGAAATCAACCACACACTCAGATATATGCCGTATCATACAAATGCATATGTATATACATGTGTACGTAACTATGAAATTAACAGCAGTCGACTGTCATTAAACGTCTAATTTTGCAAAATCATACTGCAATAAGAACGAGGACTGGACTGCTTGAAACCTTAAAGACTATATATACATATGTATATATGAATAATCTCTATCAGCTCTGCTTTAACCGAAACCGTTTTTACATTAAATAAAAGTTAAAGAGAAGCACGTAGCTTTTGTTGAGTTATGATATTGTCTTTAAAAGTATTTTCTCAGAATAGGAATTTGTAACACTATAAGGCAAATACTTTCAAAGATACACAGATAAGCCTCTATTGCAGTGTTTTATAGATTTATTTATATTTATTATAAAATTTTTATGCGATTGTATTAATAATGATATCGATTACAATTGTTTAGCCAATTGGAACCAAGCCATTGGCCATAGAGTTTCTCTTTAGTTAATAAGCTGGGAAAGTTATTGTAAGATATACAGAGTTTGGAAGTACTGTATAGATTTTTTTTTTATCGAAATATCGATATATACTATAATATATTAATTTATTTTATATTCGATATACAATTTTGAATCAACTAGATATACCTGTTTGTGCCAGCAAAATTGAAAAAGAAAATATAACTTGTTTAATTTGCTGTTTATCACTCTTGTGAAGTATTTCTTTATTTCTCTTTCCATATCTTTACTCTCTAGCTCTCCATCTCTCTCTCTCAGTCTCTCTGTTGGTCTTTGTCTGTTCACCTCTCTAATGTGGATGGCTTTGTGTTGGTTGAAACTGGTTTGAGTCTAACTTATTTCTCTGCTTCGCTTGTGTGTGTGTGCGTGAGTGGATCGTATTTATGAGTGCCTGTGTGCGTGCATGGATCGTGTTTATTTATATCGGTGTGTACTCGAGTATGTATGTGTATGTGTATGTTGACAGCCTTGAGGAGGAACCAAAAAAAACCAGATGTAATTTTTGTTTGTTTATGGCCCAACGCAATCGTTATTTTTGCGCTCTCTTCTTTGAGTGTTTTTGTTTTGTTTACAACTTTATTGTTTCTTTTGAACAACAATCGCCGCAGCTAAATACAAAATGTATTTTTTATTTTCTTTATTAAATAATTGACGAAATGCATTTGCATATGCGATTGTTCACTCTTGAAGGTTGTATACCTAGGTGGAGCTTTGACATAACTCTTATAGTATTTATAGTAAAAAAAAAAAAAAAAAAAAAAAAAAACAAGTAAGAAGACTCTAGTCGAGACTGCTCGACTAGGAGATACCCTGAACCCTCTAAGCTGATATTCTAATCATTCTGCACTTCTTTTATGCACACATACATACACATGCATCCACACGCACGCATAAGCCTGCGCTCTGCTAACTGCGCAGTAAGCAGCGACTGCGCTTGGGCTGCGCTGCAGTGTGGGCAATATTATGAGAATTTATTTGTCGAATAATTTCTTTTGTAGTCATACGATCTTAATGAAACTTTTAGAGTGTAATCATATGGTGAATATGTGTGTACATTTCAAAGCACAAGTCTCTAGTACTTGAAATGCGTTTTTTACAAATTGGGGGAGAAGGGGGCGTGGTATCCAAAATCTGTAAATTACAAAATCTTTGTATCGATTAACTTTATATACAACGCAAATTTGAAGACAACAGGTCTAATAATGTTCAAATTAGGCTAAAAAAACAAAATCAATTTTTCGATTATTCTCGATAAAAAAGTTATCGGACGATTTATCGAAAAAATAAAGCAAACTCGTACTGCGTATGGTACACACGAGTATGCATGCCAAATTTCAGCTCTCTAGCTCTTATAACTTCTGAGATCGACGCACTCATACGGACGGACGGACGGACGGACGGACGGACGGACGGACGGACGGACGGACGGACAGACGGACAGACGGACAGGGCTATATCGACTCAGCTCATCGCGCTGATCAAGAATATATATACTTTGTGGGGTCTGCCACGCCTCCTTCTGCCCGTTACATACTTTTTCACAAAACCATTATACCCTGATTTCCCATTTTCAATGGGTTCAGGGTATAAAAAAAAGTAAAAAAAAGCAATGATATATCGAATGTATTTATACATCAATTTCGCATTTGTTTTTCGAGTATTTTTTAGTGCGATTTCGTGTTGGCAACTGAACTAATCGACTTTTACTTTGAATTTGTTTTGCAGATTAACGATTGGATTGAAAAACTCTAGTTGCTCCGCGTGTCAGTCACGAAGCAAGCTAATTATTATTTGGACGGAAGCTAGTTAAGTAAACAGTAATACGAACTGATTATATATAATAAAACATCAAGAAAACAAACACGAGGCGAAAGGAACGCAGTCGAAGTTGCTGACGCCGCAGCAGCAACAGGAAATAATCGAAACATATTTCGCTGGGCGAAAGTCAACAACAACAAAGACGTATAGACGATTCCATCGTCGATCCATCGTTGATCCATCGTTGTGGAGTAATTTATTGAAACTTACGCGCACACACGTAGACGCAGAGACAGACACAGACACAGACGCAGACGCAGACGCAGACGCACGCACACAATCAAAAACTCACACACATAAAACTTCATAAACTTGATACAGCCAGAATGGAACGTGAATCAAATCCAATGCAACCCATGTGCCGCTCGGGATGCGGTTTCTATGGTAATCCCGCTACAGATGGCCTGTGTTCAGTTTGCTACAAGGTAAGTATGCAAAGAGCCGCCGTTGCTCACGAATCAATTTTTGAGAGAAGCCACGCACATATTAACATTTGGATCCCTATTTTTGTAGGACTCGCTTAGAAAAAAGCAACAGCCACCTGTGAGCAGCACACCTGTGTCAGTTCCAAGCCCACAGCCTAGCCCCACATTCAGTCCGGTCATCGCAACAACCCACACTGCACAGCCCACGGTACAGAGCTTACAGCAATCACACAGTGATATCAAAGAGGTGAGTCCCATGTTAAAGCCATCATCGATGTGGGCTTTCTTGTTTCGGCTCCTTTAGTAGGCCAAGCAGTTCGGGGACGCCTCTGATTTCTTTGTATTTTTCATCAGTCAGTCACAAATTTTTTTGTTTTTTGGATATAAATTTAGTCTTCTTATAAGTGAAATAGTGTAAACAACTTGTATGTGTAAGATATAGAAGGAAACGTTCAGTGTAACAGTGCATCGTGTGTGTTGGCTGTGCTGGCCACGTGTCGCTGCAAACTACGGCGGAGTTGACAAGGTAAACCCAATTGATTACAAATTCGTGAATCGTGTCTGTTATATTGCTCCCCGCTATTCGCCCCACTCTGAGAACGCCACGAAACCACGTCTATAGCATCCGCTGCTCTGCAGTGAATCAAAAACTGTTGTTTCCCCAACTGCACTACACTGTTGCTCACCCATTCGCACCTGCTGTATCTTTCACATTTTAGAGTCTACGAATCAAGCAATAGAATAATATTGTCTGCAATTATCAAGTAATATCAGCAGATCACATAGATCAGTTAAGATGCAATAAGTTGAAACTAAGCTAAATACATTAAGTGATGGAAATTGATATCTACATAAGATACTTTTTAAGCTACAACATTTGTTGGTACAAATTAGTATAAGTGTTAGATAGATTGTAAAGAAAATTGTTCGCACTGAAGGAGATACCAAAATTATTCGGAAACTGATACAAATATTTGATATTTATTTATCATTAATGATAGAACCTACTAAAATTGTTTGAGTTGAAATTCCATATATATTTGGAGTCCGTATACATCACGGTTAATTGCATAAATTATTCTTTATTTTATTATAATTGTGAATAGTAAATTGAAGTAATATAAAATTAGAGCATAGGCCGATTAGTGAACCTCTATTACATAGATATTAATACTATTAATGTAGTTACTATAGGATATTATGATAATATATATTGACATATTGTGGTCACTATCGTTTTTGGTAGGCAAATGTAAAGAAAGAAAAAATTTCGTGCAAATTTGAGCTACAACTAAGATTATAATCATTACATTAATAGTCATCTACTGTAGAAAACTTCGACTTGAAATACTATTTATATTTATTGTTCACCTGTATTATGCTAATTAACTGCTAGTTTTATCAGCTGCATAACAATTTATAGGTCGTATAAAGCCTATAGAAATTAAGAATAGCATAAGAGTAGAGATCTTAGCAGATCACCAAAGAAACATGGGTAGTACTCATATATGAGGATATATGAAGGTGTAGAAATGATTGGTTTAGTCGATCCCTGACTCTACTCCCTTGAGCAGTCCCTCCTCAGGATCAGAGTCTCTTAGAACTTGCGTTAAATAAGTGTGTGTATGTTCAGGTGGCAATACCTTTGAGTTTAACATCAGTTATTTGGGCACAAGGCGAAATGTATCGTAGTATGTGTAGACTTTCAACATTTGGTTTAGTGTTTTGGTTCACAAAATTTCTCCATAAAAATCCGAAATTTAAAAGGAATGCCTAATTTGGGGGGTTCTCGCCTGCCTTCAGTCCGCAAAGGTGCCACTAGCCCCGTAAACGTTGGTTTGGAGGGCAGCTCGTGCTCCGTGCCGACGACAGTGCATCGCCGCAAGCGCAAGAAGGTGGCGCGTGTTAAGGCCGGAGCACAGACGCCACCCAGACCCGTACGTGTACCAGTGAGAGTAGGCAGCTCAGTCACACCAAAGGGTATACGATGCAGTTCCTCTACTCCCTATCCCATAGGCATTGCGCAGTAGCATTAATGTTGTTTTCCCTTCATCTCCCAATCCGGCGCTGCGATGCACCTCCTTAGCGGACGGAGGAATCCGTAAGGCAGGCAACGGTAGCGCCTCTGGCTCTGGTGCCAAGTCAGCTCGTGTCCCGCCGTCTTTGAGCATAGCTGATTGTCAAGTCAAAAAGAGTTCACTGTCACGAAAGACCGCTGGTGCGTCGGTGATCGCCCCAATTGGGAGGAGTGGCAAAGCTGAGGCCAGCGGCTCCCGCAAGGTTAAATTCTCGACTAACGTGCACACCTTTCCGGCCACCGATAAGAAGACGCGCATAGGCGAGCTGCATCTCAAAAAGCCCATTAAGAAGCTCAAGCGCAACCGCCCGCTCTCGTCGGGTGGCGGAAAGAGCGTCGCGAGCAAGCTTGAGCTATCCATATCGCAGAAGTCCAGCTCTGTCCTGCGCCGCAACGTGCAACATAGTGGCGCGGCCATAGACGTCGAGCCTGTGGCAACTGCGCGCGGTCGCAAGGCACCACCGCCCTTAGCCGCCAAGCCGTCCGTAGCTGGCGTAGCTCGCAAGGCCAAACGGCTGACCAAGTCCCGCATCAAGGCCGGCACAAGCAATCGCCAACCGGTGGTGACTGCAATTAGACCGTGTCCGCGTCTAGCCTACTCCATACAGCCGGATATAAAACGGGATATTTTACTCCTAAAAAGCGCAGCCAAAAAATAAGACGGCGCAGTTAGTGCGCTAATTGTAGCCCAGGTGTCACACGCCCGTGACGTAGTTGCTTGCAATGGAACAATCCAATGGCGATAAACCCGAGAAGCCGAGACAAAAGTCCGATCATCGCTTGGCCCAGCCGCAGCTACAACCGCCGTCACAGCAGCAACCACAACCGCAACAACAGCAACAACAACAGCAGCAGCCAAATCCGCTTCCTCAGCAACAACAACAACAATCGCCGCCACATCAGCATCAGCATCAAACGTCGCACAGCAAGCGCCGGATTAAAGAGACGAGCTCCACAGAAGAAAGTCCCATAAAGAACGAGCTTGTCCAGCATAGAAAACCCTTGAAGGGGGCCATTGCATCCCCTCCTGTTGATGCGGTTGTCAAGAAGCGGGTAAACACGCTGACCCAATCACACACAGACACACACATTCACGCTTAGTTAGGTAGTCTCTTTTGTTGAACAGGGTGTGGGGGGATCGCTTGTAAGAAGATTCCCACAGGTAGCATTAAAATAATGTATAAAAAAAATAAATTTTAAATAGAAAAACCAAAATCTTTATTGAATAGTTTGGGAATGTAGTTGGAACAGATTGCTCACACGATGTTGTTGTTGTTGTATTTGTGTGTTGATGGCATTTAAATTAAATTTGTTCATGTTTCTTGTGTCTAGAAAATCACCGAGGAAGCCGCAGTAGCCTCCAAGTCCAATAGCGAAGCCATAATTGCGGCGTCTGGTCCAAATACTTCCACACAAGCAGCTGCCTCCGCATGTGAGCAGGATGATAAAGACAAGGAAGACGACAAGGACGCCAAAAAGAAAAAGAACCGATGTGGTGAATGCCGCAAGAAGGTTGGCCTAACTGGTATGGGCAACAACAATATATAGATAAATATATTTGATTATCCAGTTTTCATTGATATTCTAATGTGTTGTCTATTTTCCCATTCTGTTCACAGGTTTCCAGTGTCGCTGTGGCGGCTTATACTGTGCCGTGCATCGCTATTCCGATAAACACAATTGCACCTTTGACTACAGAGAGCATGGTGCCCAGGAGATTCGACGCAATAATCCGGTTGTAGTTGGCGAAAAAATTCAAAAGATTTGAATTGCGAGGAGAGATTGTGCCAGTAACAGTAGCCGTAGAATAATAACAACTACACATTATGATATAGTATATATATACACACGCTACGCACCAACAAATCAATATAACAACAAAACAAAAAACTCCAAAACATAAGAAAACACATAATACGCATACATACACACACGCATACACAAACACAAAACACACTCACGCACACAACACACACACTCACACTCACACATGCATATAAATATATATGTATATGTATATATATAGAAATATATATATCACATATATGTATATAGATGTATATGTATTTATAAATACTATAAATAATTGTAATTGTAATTTAATTATAATGTGAACAGTAACATGAAACAATAGTACAGAAACGTTAACCAAATACCACGCAAAATCAGCAACAACAACAACAACAATTACTACTACAACTACTACTAGAACAACTACAACTACAATGGCAACAGCAAAAAAAGGAAACAGCTCGGAATGACATTAATATATGAAAATGTTCGCACAGCAGTGGCACCATCAAAATCAGCAGCAAAAATTATTAGCAGCCGCCGCAGCAGATGCAGCAGCAGATGCAGCAGCAGATGCTGTAGCAGCAGCAACATCAACAATATTAGCAGCAGCACCAACAGCAACAACAACAACTGCAACAACAATCACCATTACAACACCAACAACATAAAATCTAACTTAAACCAGACGCGTATTAGCGCGTTAGCAAGCAATCGTCGCTGGCTGTTGTTGCCTACGAAGAACGGTGACCTGTGACACAACACACAACAAGCAACAATATATAGATATATATTTAACAACGGCAACAATCGAAGCACCTCTAGTTTGTTATTCCTATTGCAGGTTGCAAAAGTTTTGTATTCAAAGAAAGCCTCGTCAACAACGCAGCAACAAGAAAATACGCATCAACAAATTGTTAACAATTACACGAAAGAAGATAAATTTTATGTAGCCAACGTGTGTAATTTGTGTTTGTAATGTGTTGCATGTATAAAAAAAAAAGGAAACGAAAAGGCCAAAATACAAACGCAAGCAAAAAAAAAAAAAAAAAAAATACAACTAAACTCAAGTTTAATTCAATAGCAACAAAAAAAGCAACACCATCTACGAAAAAAAAAACTATTCATAATTTTTAATTATTGATTAATTAATTATGTATTTATATGTATTTAAAAAAAAAAAAAAAAAGCAAAGCAAAAACAAAAAGGCAAAAAAAAAAAAAAAAAATGAAGCAAATGTATAGAAATTCCTTTGGACAAATATTGAAAAAAAAAAAAAAAAAAAAATACATAAGAGAAAATGGAAAACACACGTATATATGTATATCTTTATATATATGTCTGCCTCACAGTGAGGGCGCAAAGAAGTGATGAACGGAAGTGGACAGAGAGCAGCAGCGTGTTAAAACTCTTATAAACCTACACAAAAAAGCAAAACGAAAATTCAATACAATTAACTAGCTTAGCGAAGCAGGCGAATGCAGTGCAAGTTGCGCTTTTTCAACTATATATATATATATTTTTATAATTTTGTCCCAAAATTTCAAATGCATATTTTATAAATACTGTTCAGTTGATTTATTTTTTGCTGATGAGCACATATATATACATATTTATATATATATGGGTTTATAGCTGTACATGTTTATAGTTGCTGTTGAAGAAGCTTAAACGATTCGAATCGATTGGGGTACATTATAAACATTTTATGCTATATATTTATATGTCAATTACGTGGCGGTATGAGAAAATTTGCAAGCGCTGTAACACATATACATATACATATATATATATCTATATATATTATATGGTTTGTCTTTATAGGTTCTTATTGCTTTAAGCGTTATTTAGTTTTTCTTTGTTTATAGTAAAAAATATATAAATATATGAACGGGCATACATAAAACATATTTTAATTTTGCTTCCTTCCTTTTAGTGATTACAAACAATTTTATTAAAACCAATCTACAATAATTCATATATTTAGATATAAATTTTGTTGTTAGCATTAGACATTAAACAAGAAAATACGAAAAAAAAAGAATCAAACAAAACGTGGTAAATGCAATAAATTCGGATTGAAAACGAAATTCTTCCCCAATCAAGGCAGAAACTTTGTAGCACAGCTATTACAGAGAGAGAGAGAGAAGAGAGAGAGAGTGAGCAAAAATAATAATCAGCTACTTGAAACACAGACCAAAACGTCCTAAGGCCTCGCAATTGCTTAACAACAATAAAACACTTCGAAAAAGACAAAGGTTCGATCAACCAAGGGGCAATATTAGATTCGGTGGTGTTCAGGTCTGTCTGATCTAAGCGAACTGCAATGGAGCTTGCTAAGAGAGAAACTTGAAACTTGCATTCATAGAAAGCACAAGCACAATACAAACAACAACAAACAAACGTTTCAATAGGCAACATAAACAAAACTGTACAAAACCAGCTATAAAATTCAATTAAAAAGCAACAACATATTTGTAAAGCAGTGGTATTAAATATATATTTAAAATAATAAAATCAATTGTAAATTAAACCGTGAAACTAGGAACTGCTATTAAAACGTAATTAAAAGAAAATAAAAAAAGAAAGCTAATTATCGACAACCCACAACCAGAACAGCAAAATTGTCATTTTAATTTTAATCAATGCATATTTAGTTGTTTATATTTAACTTTTTCTGAAAATTTAATAAAGAAAAAAAGAAAAAACTTAAAAAAAAAAAAAAAAACAATATACATGCTACACAAACAAACGTATATCATATATTTCAATAATCAATTTAAAATTAATTAGTAAAATTGTATGCATTAAAACTAAACTTATGAAAAATATACATAAACGAGAAGTGAATGAAAATCAAATGGAAATACCAGATAACCCGCAATATGAACAGCTGAAGCTGTAAATGGGCGTTAGGGATTTAGGTTTCTGGTCAACACAAGTGGGCGTGGCAAAAAGAAAAAAGCTCATGAATTTTAACAATTTCATAAATAGGTTATTTTTTCTGTTTTTTTATTTTTGCTTTAGATATAGTTTATAATAAATTTATATAGTTTGAAACGCTTTAGTGTGTTTTAGTTGAAATTGTTTTTATGTTAATTAATTAACTAAAGTGAAAAGGCAAATAATAACTAATACTATTTATGTACATACAATATATACATATTTACACATATATACATACATACGTACATACATATACATATATATATGCATACATACTTTTAGCGTATTGTAAGCGCCCCTACTTTTAATTAACGTTTCTTCTCTCTTTTAATTGTATTTGCTGTTCTAGTATTTTTTCAATTGGAGTTTTGTCATTTTTGCTGGGCGCACTTCTTAGTCACTCTTGTGCTTCTAAACTTAAGGACACTTAACGAAAAAGCAAACAAAAAGTACATAAAAAATACATGCAAATAATTTTATTAAATCAAAAAAAAAAAAAAAAAAAAAAAAAAAAATGTATTTCCTCTACCAGAATCGTTTTTGTTCATATTTTGCAATTGTTAGCCGGACTCGATTTTCGATTTTTGGCTTCAAATTTTGTTGGCTGATTAAGAGAAAAAAAAAATAAATAAAAAAATAAAATTAAAGTAGTTTGTAAAAACGTATAAAAGATATAATAATAAGCAAGCGCGAAAAAAATGATTAATGATATACATTTATATTATATATTTATATATAATTATATAATATGAATCTATATCGTACTAATGTATAATTGTAATTAAAAGCGCAAAGGCAGCGACAAATGAAAAGAAAACACGTGAAAATATATACATATATTATATTATATTATATTTAATGACTAAATGGTAAAGCTAGTTTGAATCTAAATAGGAATACATAGTACATATATGGAAACAGAGATATGGAAGCGCAGATATAAGAGCAACAACTATTTTAATTAACACAACAAACAATGCATAACATATACAATAACAGTAATAATAATAATAATAATGATAATATTAATAATAATAATAATACAATAATAATAATATGTGACTCTAATAGTGCAGAAGAAGGAAATTAGTTATGAATGAAGAAGAAACACCTCAACAAACACAAAAGTAATAAACAAACAAAACAATTATTTCAAATTTATATACACACACCTAAATAGTTTAAACAAATGTTGAATAAAAGGCGAATCTATAATTTTCAAAAAATATATATGTGTTTCTGCTTTTTATTTATTTCCGTTGTTATTTATTGTTGATTTCGTTCACGTTTTGTTTACCCAATCGATGAAGTCCCCGCCCAGAGGTGCTATACAATCTAGACTAGACTGCAGGGAATTTATTATGGCCAATTGGCATTTGGGGCAGACAGACCACAAAGTTTCGTTAGCAATTCTCATATAAGCAAATAGCAATATAATGTAATTAATTATATATTTACCTAAATAAAGTCACAGAAAGTGTTCAATAAGTCAGCAGCTTAGCCACAATTCAACAGTTTCTTATATTTTCTTTCTTCTAACGATACGTTGTGCTAAAACCTAGATAAAACAGGAGCAAAACAGCAACAACAACACCAAACGATCCAAGAAGTACATTTAAAAAAAAAAAACTAAATAAACACAAAAAGAAAGAAAACATATATCTATATATTTTAAATAAATTAAAATGTCAACGTGTTTTTAGCTTTACCCGGCAACATAAGAACATAAGTAATTGAAAGGCTAACATTGGCGTTCGGAGAGTATCGAAAATAAGTGAGGGAAACGTATATAAAAGTGCTAAGCTTTAAGGTAAATCTAACAAGAAGTATCTATACAAAAAGAAAATACAAAAAGAAAAAAAAAAAAAAACGAAATAAATATTATAATAATATAATAACAAGAGAAAAGAAATGAATGGAAACGGCATTGACATGCAGATAAGATATATATATGTCTTAAGTATAAATATATATATATAGACTATATGAATATCTGATAAATGAAAAATTGCGAAAAAAAAAAAATACTGATAAAAACTAAATATAAGTAATATATAAAAAAAAAAACAAATAAAATACAAAAAAAAAGTAAGAAAATGGAACTAATAAAGAGAATTATTCTGAGAAATTCATAAAAC